CAGTTAGTTATGAGAAACAGGTTTTGTTAGCCTCAGTTGCAAGTCTTCTTTCCATCCATAGTTCCCTTATATGTTTCATATATCCCCTCTCTTTAGTCCTACTGTTGTAATATCATTCCATCAATTCCAAGTTCTCTTGTGTTGTGTTGGTTTGTTCCAGTAGCTTACTTATCATCAGATTGTCCTGGTTCTCCAACATCTGACATATAGCTTGTTAATATAGGTGATGTTCAAACTGGCATGACGTTCCTAGTTTGTGTTACTCTCAGATTTTGAGGTAGCCTTGTGAAATGTTAGGGGGTCTTTGACTAGGGACGTCTACTGACACAGTCTCCAGTGTCAAAGGCAGCACTCCAACAATTATGGTATCCAGCCATTTATACGGTAATTAAAGCTTGAGGCCCAATACTGTTCAACAGATACTAGCTATGAAAGCATACACCAGTATATTGTCCAAGATTTTGTCACTAGTTTTTAAAACTTTTCATTAAGCCACAGTGGAGAATATTTTCTGAAGGACAGATTGATGGTGCACAATAAGCTACTAATTTAATGGGACCTCCCCCCAAAACCCTGTCCTTAAATCCAATTTCCTTCTTCATGCAGGTATCCAAATCAAAACCTCCTGAATAAATTATCCTCCTATGAACATATTGAGTGAAGGAGAGCTATTAAAATAACATTGGCAGGGAGGAAGTTTATTTGGAGTACTTATGTAGTATTAGTGATTGAGTTGGGATCTCATTTTTTTCTCAGCATTTTAAATATATATGTAAAAGCTATATGCTTCACTGACACTAGAAATGGTGGGCTGTGGGCTATACCTTCCTCAGGATCTAGCTGTATTCCCTTCACTGCTTGCAAGGTGCAATGAAAAAAGAAAACTGTCTCTCTACATTAGTTCCTGTCAAACTCCATGGGTGTATTTGCTAAGATAGATAAAGAGCTGCCATCCGTGGATTTAACGACAATAACTTATGCTTGTAGAAAGTAGAATTCCTCAGAGCTATAAAAAATCATTAAAGGCTATTTAAATATCTAACAGCAATGAAGGAGCTGAAGTTTATATTGGTTTTCAAAGATGATATGTAGCAGCTGTGAGGTGAAGATTTATTCTTTAATTCTAGCCAAAAGACCTTAAAATCTTTGTAGCTTGAGCAAAAAACAGATGACTGATGAAAAAATTGACCTTGTTTGACTTCCAGATGGACTACTTTATCCTTTATGTGGACAATAAAGATTCACAAATTTTACTTGCCAATTGTTGATTCTGATACCTATATGTTTTGGTTGAGACTCAGGCACATTGATTAAATTGTAATCCCTGAGTTCAGTAGGTGATGACGTGATTTGATTGCATGTGTTATTTTCAGTATGGCTAGGAAAGATCTGCCAGATGTTTGTGCCTTTTCTTCTCATGGGAAGATTTGATTTAGAATAACAGAGCACCATTTTTACCCTTGGGTCCAATAGAACAGCCAAAGAAAGTGGATCTTTGTTGATGAGAAAAAGTTGAGGTATTTGGATGTAATGCCATTTTGATGTCCATATATTCTTTTATCTTAAGCATTTCAGTCCATGTTCTTTTGTATCAGAATTGGTCAAGGTTGATCAAGATTACAAATTGCACTAATAGTTAAATGTGGTGCGGATACAGAGGCAACGGAACCTGGATTCTGATTTGATTGCAAGGGGAAAGGACAACAGTGTACCAGTGAAAGACGAAGCAATCAAGGATGCACTTACCAGAAAACAAATAGCTCACCTATTTGTCCTGGTAGATTAATAATAATAATAATAATAATAATAATAATAATAATAATAATAATAATAACAATAATGCAAAGAAGCTGAAGAAACAGTGGACCACCTGGTAAGCTGTTGCAAGAAGATTGCACAGACTGACTACAAGCAGCGGCATGACAAAGTAGCAACAATGGTGCATTGGAAGATCTGCAAAAAATATCATTTGCCTGTAAGCAAAAACTGGTGGGATCATAAAATAGAGAAAGTCATAGAAAATGATAAAATTAAACTGCTCTGGGACTTCAGAATTCAAACAGACAAGCACCTGCAACATAACACCCCAGACTTAACAATTGTCGATAAGAAAGACAAAAAAGTCTGGATAGTAGATGTGGCAGTGCCTGGAGACAGCAGAATAGAAGAGAAAGAGCTGGAGAAGATAACAAAATACAAAGACCTACAAATAGAAATAGAAAGATTGTGGCAAAAGCAAGCAAGGGTAGTACCAATAGTCATAGGCGCCTTGGGTGCAATCCCAAAACAACTGGAGCACCACTTGAACACCATTGGCATTGACAAATGTGCCATTAGTCAATTGCAAAAGGCGGCCTTACTAGGAACTGCTTCCATCCTGCGACAATACCTGTAATACCATCAAACATCCACATCTGCCTATCCCAGGTCCTGGGTAAGGACTCAATAAGTAGACAAAATGCCAAATCCAGCCTGAACATCTGGCTGATTGTGCGATGATCCATAATAATAATAATAGTAGTAGTAGTAGTAGTAGTAGTAGTAGTAGTAGTAGTAAAGTTGCAAGAGACCTTGGAGGTCATCTAGTCCAACCCCCTGCTCAGGCAGGAAACCCTACACCATTTCGGACAAATGGCTGTCCAGTCTCTTCTTAAAAACTTCCAGTGTTGGAGCATTTACTGCTTCTGGAGGTAGGTTGTTCCACTGATTAATTGTTCTCACTGTCAGGAAATTTCTCCTTAGTTCTAGGTTGCTTCTCTCCTTGATTAGTTTCCACCCGTTGTTTCTTGTCCTGCCTTCAAGTGCTTTGGAAAATAGCTTGATTCCCTCTTCTTTATGGCAGCCCCTGAGATATTGGAATACTGCTATCATATCCCCCTTTGTTCTTCTCTTCGTTATTTATTTATTATTTATGAGACTTATATACCGCTTTAAGTGTAAGCACTCTCTAAGCAGTGTACACCAGTAAGCAATGTATATATATATTTACATTGCCCCCAACAATCTGGGTCCTCATTTTACCTACCCCGGAAGGATGGAAGGCTGAGTCAACCTTGAGCCGGTGAGATTTGAACTGCTGACCTGCTGAACACAGTCAGCTAAAGTGGCCTGCAGTACTGCAGTCTAACTGCTGCGTCACCTCGGCTCTTATATGTTAAACTAGACATACCCAATTCTAGCAACTGTTCCTTATATGTTTTAGCCTCCAGTCCCCTAATCATCTTTGTTGCTCTTCTCTGTACTCTTTCTAGAATCTCAATATCTTTTTTACATCGTGGTGACCAAAACTGGATGCAGTATTCCACGTGTGGCCTTACCAAGGCATTGAAGAGTGGTATTAATACTTCACGTGATCTTGATTCTATCCCTCTGTTAATGCAGCCTAGCACTGTGTTGGCCTTTTTGGCAGCTGCAGCACACTGCTGGCTCATATTTAAGTGATTGTCTACTAGGACTCCGAGGTCCCTCTCACAGTTACTACTATTGAGCATGGTGCCACCTATGCTGTACTTGTGCATTTGGTTTTTCTTGCCTAATTGTAGAACCTTGCTTTTTTCACCATTGAATTTCATTTTGTTAGTTAGTGCCCAGTGTTCAAGTCTGTCCAGATCCTTCTGTATCTTAAGCCTGTCTTCTGGAGTGTTGGCTATTCCTGCCAGCTTGGTGTCGTCTGCAAATTTGATGAGTTCCCCATCTATCCCTTCGTCCAAATCATTGATGAAGATGTTGAAGAGTACTGGGCCCAGAACAGAGCCCTGGGGCATCCCACCACACACTTCCCTCCATATAGATGCAGTTCCATTGAGGACCACTCGCTGAGTACGGCCGGTCAGCCAGCTACGGATCCATCTGGTGGTGGTTCTGTCTACCCCACATTTTTCTATCTTGTCAAGTAGTAGGTTGTGATTTACTTTATCAAATGCCTTACTGAAGTCCAAGTAAATTATGTCCACAGCATTCCTCTGATCCACTAATTTTGTCACTTGGTCAAAGAATGCAATAAGATTTGTCTGGCATGATCTATTTTTGACAAACCCATGTTGGCTTTTAGTAATGACTTTGTTTGCCTCTAGGTGTTCGTTGATTCGTTGTTTGATTATCTTTTCCAGGATCTTCCCAGGTATTGAGGTCAGGCTGATAGGTCTGTAATTTCCTGGATCCATTTTTTTTCCTTTTTTGAGGATGGGAACTACATCAGCTCTTTTCCAGTCCTCTGGTAGTTCCCCTGTGTTCCAGGATCTTTGAAAAATATATTTTTCTTTTAAAAATATTTTTTTTAACACTCTAAAGCAGCGGTTCTCAACCTGTGGGTCGCGACCCCATTTGGGGTCGAACGACCATTTCACGGGGGTCGCCAAACAATGCAGTCCGCCATTTTTTCCCCTTTTCCTTAGCTGTGCTACTCCCTCTTATTCTATTGGCTTTTGAAAGCCAATAGAATAGACTCTATTCAAGAGACTCTATTCTATTGGCGTTCGAAAGCCAATAGAATCTACTGGTTTTCGAAAGCCACTAGAATAGACTCTCTTGAATAGAGTCTAATTCTATTGGCTTTCAAAAGCCAATAGGAATTGTCCAGGCTGTCTCTGCCCTGCTGAGCCTGCCAAAAGCCCCAGTCTGCAAACGGTGCTACAAGTTGTCTGCAGCTAAGGCGAGGTTTCTGGATGTTTCTACCCCTCCCTGCTGAGCAACTACTAAATGTAAGTAAAAGAGGACCAGGGGTGGGAGGTGGGAGGCCGACGGGCACAGGGAAGGTTGCTGGCGCGTGTGGGGCCCAACGGGTGGCTTACCTCCCTTCTGCTGGGCCAGCTGGTAGCCCAGCCGGTGGTCAGCCTGCGCCCTCACTGCTGTGTGCCATGGCTGCCCAGGAGCGCCTGGGCCTGCCTGCCACCGCACCGAACGTGCAGTGGCCAAGGTAAGGCTAGCGGGGCAGCGGCGGGCACAGGGAGGGTTGCTGGCATGCGTGGGGCCCGGTGGGTGCCCTACATCCCTTGGGCTGGGCCAGCTGGTGGCCCAGCCAGTGGTCACCCTGCGCCCTCGCTGCTGCATGCCATGGCCGCCCAGTAGCACCTGGGCCTGCCTGCCGCTGCACCGAATGTGCGGTGGCGAAGGTAAGGCTAGCGGAGCAGCTGCGGGCGCAGGGAGGGTTGCTGGTGCGTGTGGGGCCCGGTGGGTGCCTTACCTCCCTTGGGCTGGGCCAGCTGGTGGCCCAGTCAGTGGTCGGCCTGTGCCGTCACTGCCGCTTGCCAGCTACGCCTCGGACGGCGCAGGGGGCGGCACCACTCATGCACGGCGTTCCTGGGCCGAGGTGGTTGCTGGGTGACGGCCCACGTGCAGCCACAGGAGAGGAGGTGGAGCGTGCACGCCTCCTCCTGCCCCGCCCGCAGGGAAATACAGGTAGTCCTCGACTTATGACCACATGGTTGGGGTCGCAGCATTAGGAAGGTTGAGAACCACTGCTCTAAAACCTGACAATTCCTGGGGAAGAAAAGCTATCCTTAAAGACTTGAAAAGCAAGAAGTACATTGAAGAAGGATGTACTTTATTGGGGATTTATGGTTTCAAACATTAATTAAATTATTTCTCTCTTATGTTATTGTCTGCCTTTTGGATAGTGCATTTTTAGACTTCTGCTTGGAGGGAGTAAGGAGGAGGAATTCTAAGACAAAACTGTTATGTTTGGTGTTCTGTGAGGCATCGACGAGACAGCAGGTGAGCAAACAACTCTTTATTAAAGGTTTATACCGAAGCCTGGATAGCTGCAGCTCCATCCCTATTTATACATTCAGCAACTAGGTGGCAGCCAACAGGATTCAAATATTAGTTCCCACTTTAACACAAGATAATTAGCATGTAGACAGCAAGTCTGGCTCTTAACTGACAGAGTCTTATGATCGTTTTTTCAACAATTCCAAGTAGTTCACCTCAATACATTACAAAAACTATGGACCCTGATAATTATTGGAAGTTAGGGATTAGCTCTTGATTAGCTCTTGAGCAGGGGGCTGGACTAGAAGACCTGCAAGGTTCTGTTCTATTCTATTCTATTCTATTCTATTCTATTCTATTCTATTCTATTCTATTCTATTCTATTCTATTCTATTCTATTCTATTCTATTCTTAATTAAGTACAAGACATACTTTCTAATAACATATGTGTAATCAGTAGATTCAGGACATATACCAGATTGTATCTTACGCATCACACAAAATTAACCTGAGGAATTTACAATAACAAAATTAGATGATTATAACTCATATACATGATTTAAAGTAAAAATCAAAGATTGATGGCAGATTTGCAAAGCTGTATATAGAGGGAATACACTTCTTGGAGACAAATGTAAAAATAAGGCCTTCAGTTAGATCAGTGGTTCTCAACCTTCCTAATGTCGCGACCCTTTAATACAGTTCCTCATGTTGTAGTGACCCCCAACCCCCCATCCAGCTGGGGGGGGTTATCAAAAACTTGACCAAGAAAAGAGAGGAAAAAATGGGAAAGTATAGGTAGTCCTCGACTTACAACAATTCGCTTAGTGACTGTTTGAAGTTACAACAACACTGAAAAAGCGAATTATGATTATTTTTCACACTTATGATTGTTGCAGCATCCCCAGGGTCATGTGATTTACTTTCGGATGCTTGACAACTGATTCATACTTATGACGTTCACAGTGTCCCAGGGTCACGTGATCAATGGCCAGGGGGCATGGCCAGCTGATCACTCAGGTTGCAGAGTGCCTGTGGGGGGGGAATCTGTGGGTCTCTGGGATGGGACTGGGGTGGGTGCCTGCCTTCCTTCCCTCCCTTCTCTCCCCTTGTCCCTTCCTTCCTTCTTTTCTTCCTTTCCTTCACCTCCCTCTTAGTCTCTTCTTCCTTCCCTCCCTCTCCCATTGTCCTTTCCTTCCTTCCTTTCCTTCCCCTCCCTTAGTCTCTTCCTCCCCTCCCTCTCTCCCATTGTCCCTTCCTTCCTTCCTTCCTTCCTTCCTTCCTTCCTTCCTTCCTTCCTTCCTTCCTTCCTTCCTTTCCTTCACCTCCTGCTTAGTCTCTTCCTCCTTCCCTCCCTCTCTCCCATTGTCCCTTCCTTCTTTCTTTCTTTTCCTTCACCTCCTTCTTAGTCTCTTCCTCCTTCCCTCCCTCTCCCATTGTCCCTTCCTTCCTTTTTTCCTTCCTTTCCTTTACCTCTTTCTTAGTCTCTTCCTCCTTCCCACTCTCTCCCATTGTCCCTTCCTTCCTTCCTTCCTTCCTTTCCTTCCCCTCCCTTAGTCTCTTCCTCCTTCCCTCCTTCTCTCCCATTGTCCCTTCCTTCCTTCTTTCCTTCCTTTCCTTCGCCTCCTTCTTAGTGTCTTCCTCCTTCTCTCTCTCTCTCCCATTGTCCCTTCCTTCCTTCTTTCCTTCCTTTCCTTCCTCTCCCTCTTAGTCTCTTCCTCCTTCCCTCCCTCCCTCCCCTTGTCACTTTCTCCCTCCCTCCCTCCGTCCCTCCCTCCCTCCCTCCCTTCCCTCTTTGTCCCTTCCTCCCTTCTCTACCTTCCATTGTTCCTCCCTTCCCTCTCTCATTGTTCCTTACTTCCCTCCCTCTTTGTCCCTTCCTTCCTCTCCCCCTCCGTGCCCAGGAAGGGACAAGGGGAGGGGGATAGGCTGCCAGCATGGCTGGGGGCTTTATTGCCGGCAAACCTCCCTGTGCACAGGCAGAGACAGAGGAGACCTCCGCCCAGCTCACTTGCTCAGCTTCTCCCGAATGCTTGCCGCTTGCTAAGTTAGCAGAAGCTGTAGGATCAGCGCCATGCTACAGCTGATTCGTGCTTCTGCTAAATTAGCAAGCGCATGTTTTCTAGTGAGCAAGTTTGCTGGGCAGGAGCCAAGGAGAGCAGCTACAGCTGCAGAAGCGCGGATCAGCTGTAGAGGCTTGCCCTGATCCTGGACAAGAGGGAGGGAAGGAAGGAAGGAAGGAAGGAAGGCACAAAGGGGAGAGGGAGGGAAGGAGGGACAAAGAGGGAGGCGAAGGAAAGGAAGGAAGAAAGGAAGGAAGGAAGGGACAATGGGAGAGGGAGGGAAGGAAAGGAAGTTCCAGCCAGGAGAGGCTTGCCAGCCCAGCTGCCAAGAAACAGAAGAGCGCAAAGCCAAGGAGAAGAAGGTGGCGGTTTCCTCCCAAAGGGGGCTCCTTTTCTCCACCCCTTTGTGGGGAATTTCTCGTCACCAACAATGGCAGGTGCTGCATCGAGCCCGCCACGAGCTTTCTCGCCCCCTTTGCTTCTCCCCCCTCCCCCGCTTTCGTGAGGATTGTGGCGCCCTTGGGAAGCCAAGCGTGCTTTGAAACTTAGGAGAGGAGGAAGAGTCACTTCCTCCTTCCCTCCCTCTTGCATCAGCTGGTGCGAGTTCGGGGGTCGCCAGCTGACGGGCACAGGAGTTGGGTGCTGCAGCAGCCTCCCCTTCGCTGACCTGTGTGCACGAGAAGAAGTCAATCCGGTTGCTGCACAATGAGTCTCTGGAGAGGATGGGGCCTTGCTCTGCGCCTGCGCTCTTCATGCGCCCCCTGCAGGGTGCATTTGGTAGAGTTTGTACAGACTGCTGCCAAGCAGCATATTTCCCACAAACAAGTGAGGTGGAGCGGAGGGGGGGAGGGAGAGAAGGCGGTTGACAAGCCCTGCCTAAGACCATCAGAAATATGTGTTTTCCGATGATCTTAGGCGACCCCTGTGAAAGGCTCATGCAACCCCTAAAAGGGTCGTGACCCACATGTTGAGAACCGCTGAGTTAGATGTTCTGCTTGTGACCTTCGAGAGTCATCCAGCTAGCTCTTCTTGGAAACAGAATTATTGTGCCTGATTCATCCAAGCACTCTTAATGGTTTTGCCTACACTAGTATATCTCATCTTGCCTGAGGAGATAAAGGTGCATCCCAAAAAAGAGGGATTTTTTTAAAAAAAAAACATATACAACAGCAACTATACTTATTTATAACATTATAATAAAACCATCAAAGGCCTTGATAAGTGTGGAAGGAGTGAATTGCCCAGCTTACCTTTTACTGTTCTGAGCATATAGCTAAATTGGGATTTGAACAAAAATATTCTAAGTATAAGGAGGGTATCCTATTCACAAATGGGAGAAATCTATGAAAGATGGGACATCTGAAGTATGATGCTGAGAGGAACCTGAAGGATATCAGTTCGCCTAACCTTCCTGTCCATGCTTTAAACAAGGTATGAGGCCTCCTTTTGCTTCCTTTCTGTTCCCACCATCTATCTGTCTGTCTGTCTGTCTGTCTCTGTCTCTGTCTCTGTCTCTCTCTCTCTCTCTCTCTCTTTCTCTCTCTCTCTCTCTCTCTCTCCATATATATATATATATGGTGTTTGTATGTAGGTCTTTGGTTGTTCGGGTTTTCTCCCGCGTAAAATTTGAAGTGTCTTGGCGACGTTTCGACGAAGTCCCATTCGTCATCTTCAGGCTGGTGTTTTCAGCTTTGTGCTTCGAAGCACGAAGCTGAAAACACCAGCCTGAAGATGATGAATGGGACTTTGTCGAAACATCACCAAGACACTTCCAATTTTACGCGGGAGAAAACCCGAACAACCAAAGACCTACATATATATCTTAATAATAATAATAGTAGTAGTAGTAGTAATAGTAGTAGTAAAGTTGGAAGGGACCTTGGAGGTCATCTAATCCAACCCCCTGCTCAGGCAGGAAACCCTATACCATTTTGGACAAATGGCTGTCCAGTCTCCTCTTAATATAACAAAGTACTATCTATTATGTCTGTACTTGTCCTGCCTTCAGGCGCTTTGGAAATCTGTATTTCTCAATGCAGTTTCTTAGCCTTAACTTCTTGTTTATAAGAGGGACTGCTTCAATCCACAGAAAATGTATAAGAGGCAAAATGAAATAAAAATCAATTTGTTAATTAACACTTATTGAAAGCTGCTGATGCTCCCACTTTTGTATAACTTATCATCTACTGGGGAGGCCAGGAGTGTGGGTGTTTCCAATACATTAGATCCATAAAATAGCACCAATATAATGGCCTGCTGAAAATTAAAACTGATCTCGATTGCAGGAATCCAGAGTAAACAGTGGGTGGGCCCAAAGATGAGGATTGCTGTAATGAAATTTTGCAGCCAGGGTATGCTAATTTTCAAATCATCAAAGTTCACCCATCACTTAACTGTGACAACTTTCCACAGCAAAGCATATAAAACCTTGGATCATTTCTTCCCCTGCTGTCTCAGAGTCCTATATTTAGCCTGCATTGTACATTGTATATTAATCACTTGTGTCAAACCACAATGGATTGCTACCTTGATCATCTGCAATTCACATTCACTCCCAGAGTGAGGGCCTATTTAAATTTCCAACAAATTTTGGAATGGAAAAAAATGAAACCTCATTCATCACTGTTCCTTCTTATTTAATAGGTTGCTTAGCAGATGAGATAATATGCGTATAATAGTCTAGTTTATCTCAACAGCAGCAGCAGCAGCAAAGTTACGTAAGATTGTTGAGCTTGTGTGTGGCCTTTCTGTCAAGATGACTGTTTTTTAAACAAGCAGTTGCTGTCTTGGTGAGAAGGAGAAATCCTGTAGCATTATCGAACCTATAGACAGGGACTGTAGTAAGGCTTTGTTTCCATTGAATCTTGTAATATCTTGTCTATTGTAATTGTTTTCAAATAGTTACCACTTCCTATTTTTCTATAGGTTTTGAGTATCTTCTGCTGTTTCTGTTTGAGGTTGAGGCTTTTGAGGCATCAGCTGAGATTGCAATTAGAATGGAGGAATGCAATCACACATAGTCTGCTAGCGGGGGAATAGTTCAATGAAGAAACTAGTGCCTCCTGAGAAAGATAATGTGGTATGGAAGATTCTCTATCCTTTCTTCCAAACCCATAATTTCTGCCTCAGTTGCTTCTCTCTGCCTTTGTAACATCATTTATCTTCCTTTGTGTCTCTGCTGGGGTGGCTTATTTTGACATTTACAACAAGTCCAATCCGTTTATACCAGGGAGCAGGAAGATCAGAAGGAATGGAGGAAGGTATCTACAATGGTACTGGCATCTAGAATAAGAGAAGATTTTATATTTCTTTAAATAATATTTGCCTATCCCGGGTCCTTGGTGGATAAAAATGCCAAATCTGGTTCAGACCTCTGGCTGACTGGGTGGCTGACTATAATAATAATAATAAATATTTATTACATTGGATCTGCCCATATACTATGCCGATATATTATAACATCCTAGGTTCTTGGGAAAAACTCAGTGTGTTGTAAAGCCCAACACCAGCTAAAGAAGTAGGAGTTCTGATTTTACATTTTTGTGAACAGATAATAACACATCTTGCAATGATACCTTTAATATTATTAAACAACAATATCTGCATATCCTAGGTCCTTGGGATGGATAAAAATGCCAAATCCAGTCTGAATATTTGGCCGACTGCTATGAACTATAATAAATAGTTTATTAAACTTGCGTGCTGCCTGACTCAACATCTCTGGGCGGCTCACAATTAAAGAAATTGTAATAAAACCAATAAAAGATAAAAGATGGCAGATGAAGCTACCAAGTAAAAGTTGCTTCCAGTACTCTTTTTCCTCCTCTTCCTATTTACCATAACCCAAGAAGCCTCTGGAAAAGGATGAAAGAAGGAGCATGGGTATCAGATGTGGCTGACACCATCTTCTTGCTTTTATGTCTTACGCACTAAAGAAAGATGTGTAAATTAAAATAAAATTGAAAAACCTAAATTGTACATAGAGGACAAGTGTAAGGAGTAACACTTTCTGGATCCATTAGATGGTTTCTGCTCCACCTTCTAATCAGGCAATTAATATTCAGCTTCCATGAAAAGGAAGGATTTTTTTTTCAAAGATGTTATATGGGTTTGTGAAGGAGAATCATTTTATATATGTATATCCTTTGTAGTACATAGATCGGGATCCCCAAACCCTGGTCTGTGGCTTGGTGCCAGGCAGTGGCCCATTGGGAACCTGTTGGCCTCATAAGTAGAAGGCAAGTGTGAGAGTGTGTGAAACTGCATTTGTGTAAGTGGCGCACACACAAAACCATCCCCTGTCCCCTCCCTGCTGCCGCTGCTGGTCTGCTGAGCTGGAACAGTTGTGGACCACTGATATAGATGAAAATGGAAAAATTATTTGGGAAATAAATTTATATAGAAGGGGAGAATCAAGTGATAGTGCTTATTAATTTAATATAAGTTAAAAATTAATTTATATTTATTAGTTAATTTTCTTGTCCTGGAGTGCAGTCTTCAATCTCAAAGGTAAAAGAGGCCTTTAAGTTGTGCACTTTGGAATTAAAATAAGAGGACAGCAATTTGGAAGCAAATATTTCCATTTAAGTCTTCACAACTTTTAGAAAGTTTTGTTTAATTCTGTAGAGTCCAAGACAGTATGTCATAACTAATAAAATTCTGTGTTCCTCAACTGAGCATAGAACAAATTGAACTGCTCAACTGTTCGGAGTAGTTGAAAAACCCTTCAAGGGGAATCCAATACTCACCCATCTCTGCTCTAGTTTATCAGTCTGAGCATTTACACATATGGAAAATTAAAAGTTTCATGGATACATCACATTCCGCTTTGTAGCCCATGAAAAAGAGAACACATTTACTATATATTTTAGAGACAGTACTGTAGTTTTTGACGAAAACAAAAGCCAGAAATCTATTGGTGAGTAATTCTGGCCTTGAGTTTGCCAAAGCAGACTTTTTTGTATAATACAAGTCCTTTTCTTTTGTCTTTTTAATTTTAGAATCAACCTTGTCCTATGTTAGGCAGCTGGAAGCAAGAGTAAGACAGCTGGAGGAGGAAAATCGCATGCTGCCCCAGGTGGGTGATTTCTGTTGCTAGGCATACTAGTTTGTAGCTGAGGTCTAGAGATAGAACATTAATACTGATTTATGCCAGGGAATGGTTCACTGTGCTGCAGAGGAGATTGTGTGTATCTGAATGCTTTTTATATCTTTCGTAGCTGGGAAGTTGAAGTGTTTTCTGTCAGTGTCAATATCCTAAGTGTTGTCTGGATCAAGGGACTCAAATTCTTCATTGAATAAGCAATTAGATAAGGAGTTATATACAAAATAACAAAATATGTAGCTGAAATGGAATAGATCATGATGCAGATGCAGTAACTAGGGCAGTGATGGTGAACCTATGGCACACATGCCAGAGGCGGCACTCAGAGCCCTCTCTGTGGGCACGCGTGCCATGCCCCGGAGATGGCAACCATCCCTCTTCAACCAACTGCCCGCTAATGCACCAAGGTCCCAGATGGCCAGATGCATCCCAGCACCCATGCACTCACTGGCCTCAGTGTGCAGCAGCTGATGGTGTCGGGCAGCAGCTACCCCGGCCCCTGCCTCACCTTGCCCTGTGACAATGGCACCCCTGCCCTGCCTCGCCTTACCCAGCAGGACGAGCCTCCTGCCCATCACCCCATCTGCCAGAGACCTCCTGGATCTCCCCCAACCCTGCTCGGCCCACACAGGCATCCCTCCCCATGAGCAACATCGAGGTGATCACACCCACCTTGGCCACACCCATCCAATCTGCCATGACCACAGCCACGCCCACCCAGTGGGCCACACCACCTGGCACTCGGTGATAAATTAGTGGGTTTTCGGTTGTGGTTTGGGCACTCAGTCTCTAAAGGTTCGCCATCACTGAACTAGGGCATTTCATTCAGAGGCATCCCATGATTTGTGGATTCATTATTTATCCTCTGAATCTATGAAATATCTATATTTCATAGCCATTGAGGAAAAGAAATCAGGGAGATAGACTGCTTAGTTGTAAGATGATTATGAAGGTTATTTTGTTAGGCAGTCTAATTGCCTTGGAAAATATTTCTGGTACATGAGTTTCAATCACACATGTCGTGGAAACTTTATCGTGCAGTTCTTGCTTGTGCAGTGAAGTGTTGTATCTGGAGCATATAATAGTCAGATAGATACAGCGTGGCAATTTTCAGCCTTGTCATTTCAGTTATGGTCCAAATCCTTAACAACTGATTTAGCAAACAATCATAAAGAAAAACAAGAATATTATGAGGTGCAGTATTCTTCTAAATTTTGCACTTAGGATACTGCTTTCCATCAAATATTCCCAAACAACTACTAAGAAAACACACTTATAGCCAGGGCTTTTTTTGTCATAGAACGCCCAGAACGGAGTTCCGGCACCTTTTTTGGATGGAACCTTGTAGGATAGGCAAGGCGGGTTATATAACGTGTGTGAGTTCCGGCACCTTTTTTTTTTTTTTTTTTTTACATAAAAAGCACTGCTTATAGCTCAAGAAGTATAAATTCTGTCAAACTCTGGGCCATATATTTACTTAACAAAGAAAGGCAACTATGATAATTCAGCGACTATAGTATTCTGTTCAGAGTTCTCTTTGATCTTGGCTTCCTAAGAGTGGAAAAAGAGGAGGAGTAGCTACATGGAAACTCTCTCTATCTCTCTTTGTGGGTATAGACAACAGTTTCCTGTGGGTGTCTTTATTGAACATTAATAGTTGTTGGTTGGTCTCTGATTCACTTGAGGCAGGGAGTAAGAACTATATGGGGGAGTTAAGCAATTAAAGCTCTTGAATAATGGCTAGGCTTTAAAGAGGAACCTTCTGCATGTGCACTCAGTAGGAATTTTTTTTAAGAGGCAGTACATATTAGGACATTATGTGAATATATGACAACATGGAATGAACTAGGACTAGATTGAAACTCACATTCTCAAGAAGGATTTATATATTTCCCTTATCATTATCAGAACCACTGCAATGGATATCAACAAATTAGTGTATTGTGGGGTTTCCTTTTTTCAGATTGTGTAAGAACTGCTCAAATGCAGATCTCCTTAGTTTGTCTGGTTCTATTGAGCTTGATTTTACATAGATATTTGCATTTTAGAAAACGGAAATGGTTTGAATCAACTAAAATCTCTTATTAGGGCAATCATCCACTTTACGTCTTTCCATTTAATGTCTCTTTAATGAGCATATTAGCATTTGTGCTTAGGGTAGTTAAGATTAAACTCTTTTTCACACTTCATTTTTTCAAGTGTTGAAACTTTACTAGGAAAATCTCACTGGAGATTGAAACCTGTTTTGCATAATAAATGAATGATTAAAGAATTCTGAAGTTACAAGCTTGCATGAACTCATCAGTCATTTTTCCCTAGTCACATTGTATGGAATATTTAAATGCTTGAGAAGTTATTTCAAAGTATCCAGATAATTGGTAGCCCTGTTTTAGAAATTCAGATACAGGTCTTATGCGCATTTAATTATTTTTTTTTGCAAAGTTTTTGATTATATTTATTTTTTCAGTGTCTGAAGAAGGGATTAGTTGGGAACAGAAATGGAAGAAAAAAATAAACTTTTTTTAGGGCAGACAAGACATGTGTAAAGTTGTCAGTTGTGGGGACTTATGGGTATAGATGAAAGCCATAGTATCTTCCTTGGTTTGACAAAAATCTCCTACCTCTTATTTTGTCTAGCAACTCCTGAATTCTTACCAGCAAGACCAGTGACAGAAGACACTGGCAATTGAAATCGAAGTCATTTGGAGTATATCAGTTATGGGGAGGGATATTTACCTCCATTATTTAAGAAAAATACTATATCTCAGAATATGCAAGTCATACATCAAAAGTAAAGTGTATGCTCTGTGGATTATGGAACAAAAGTGGTAAATGCCCATTTCAACTTACTTCATAGCAGATTGGGAATCTTCGGGAAAAAGTGGAGGAGTACCAATGTTTTTGCTGCATAGAAATGTGCTGAACTTAATTTTCCATAACTCTGTGCTGACAGGTGATTTTTAGATTCAATCTAGACATTGCTTGATCAGAAAACTTGTGGTTGCCTTGTGAATTTGGGGGGAAAAGATTGTGCCTGTCTCTCATCAGCCATACTTGTATTTAAGAATTTTTTAGTAGGAATTGATTTCCCAGGGCAATACTTATCAATTCCAAGCTACACAGGAATTAGGAGTACTGATCTGAATTGTCATAGTTAAGTCAAAGCAGCAAGATACAGCAAGAAATGTAAGAAATATTTTTTGACCACCCAGTGGTATTCTTTGCCACATACTGATACGAAGACTGTCCATGTGCTATATCATACATAGGTACCAAGTTGCATAGCATGTATGATATGCTTCCAACTTCTTAGGTGAATTTATTCTGCTTCTAGTCAATGTTAGTTTCATATGTACGCTATATTTTATATCCAGTTTCTTTTGCAGTATATTATTAAAAAAGCATACGTGAAGAAAGACAATTCATATTTACCTTATATGCAATTTTCCCTAATGTATGTGTCTGTTTTCCCTCTTTATTTGCATACTAGTATGGAACTTTCTCCAGTCTGTGCATTTGTATATGTGATTGGGTTTTTTTGTGTTAAAAAGTTAATTAATTAAAATGTGATCTAGATATTCCTTAGACCATCTGTGGCATGTTCTAAATATATATACTACAATGATGGGCAAGGCTATAACTTAATCAATATTTATGCTTCTAGTTTATACAAGACAGGTTATTTATTTATTTTGACTCATTGGCCTTAGATGAAAGATTAGAATCAACAGGTTCTTGTAAAGATTTATATCAGTCTGCTGAATCCTTCCCTCATAAATTATATCAAAATGAATTAACAGATGCACTAAGGCACACATATAATCATTTTATGACACTGCACAAGACTTTGTGAATGTTTTATAGTCATTATGTCTTGGAAACACTTTGAATAGGAGGCTAATATGAATTAGGTGGGAGGAATGGTTCCTCAAGAATCATTAGTCTTTTAGACCTGATATCCACCTTCTGTTTTGGAGTTTAAAAAGAAAAAAAAAGTCCACTGCAATTTGTCTTTCCTTTCAATTCCATATTTGTGGTTAATGCATGCTTTAAAAGCTTTTAATAGTCATATTTGAGATGTGTGTATTAAAAATGAATCTACAACATATTGCACTTCTGGTCAAAAAGCTTCTGACATGCTTGGCTGACTGATGTGATGTGACACATAGCGCATCATTCCTGAACAATCTATCTGCCCAGGGAAGAAAGCTGTCAAGATATTTGCCATTTAGTTTCTCTGAAGGGGAGGCAGAGTTTGTAATTATATTTTGAAATTAAAACCTTACTTGAGGCATAGAGAAGTAGCATTCAGTGATAAACCTGTCGGGGTCATAGGATAGAAACCCCAGAGACAGAGGAACAGCATAAATTGGCACTAAGCACAAGAAATGTGCCTGTCAGTTTTCATTTTTCACCCAGCATGTTATACCATGACACACTTAATATAGGGGTGGGAGTTGTATTATTGGGGCAGATAGAAGAAATTGCAAGTGAAGCCATTTTTTTTTAAAAAACAATACTTTAAAGAGATTTCATCTTGTTCCCATTTGACTTTTTCCCCTTGAATCTGTTTTTTTTAATCTTCCAACTCATTACAAATTTTTAACTATATGAATACTACAAATATTGCTAAAAAGTATCACCTTTTAATAGAACTATGAACCAGCAAAATTATTATCAGGGCAACAATATCTGAAGAAAATAAAAGGATTCCTTTTGTTGCCAGAAATATATAAGAATATGTTCAAGCACTTGAGAAATTAAATTCTCAACTTCCATGGCAACACATCCAAATAGGTTAAAGAAGAGGTACGGTACTTATTGACACAACATGCTTTTGCAGAAGTTAGACAGTGAATGAAAAGGGGGAAAATAATATTTTCACTCTTTGTGTCAGAGAAGGTAGAAATACATTTAATCATCATTACTGAGAATTTGATGTCCAATCTCTCTTTTTTAATGGTTTTGGTGTA